TGGAACACTACATCTAAAACTAATGATGTAATGTATGGGGATTAACATAAGAATAAAAAAAAAAAAAGATGGGCTGGTGGAATCCCATGCTGCCCCTTATAATGCTTCCCCTGTGTGTACTCAAAGAAGATTCCTATCAAAGTTTTGGAGCTTTGACGCATTTAGTTAGGATACTTGGTTCTCTATATTACCCGCTCCCTGGTGTTTAATGCATCTGGCAAGGTGATTGCTATTTGAGCATCACTGGTTACTCTTAATAATGCAGAGATACCGTTTATGCTCTTTTTGAATTAGGTGACCCTCTGGATTCTATTTTTATATTATCAGACAGAAAAATGAGAGCTTGTTTAAATTATTAAATGGAAGGAAAAGTGAGGACCACAATGAAGTGAAAAATAACACCTTATGAGCCATCACTTTAAGATTATCAGATTTGACACATTGAATATTAGGGAAAAGGTGTTGTTTTCAAGAAAATATGCCAATAATTTAGAATATTTGGAGTTGTTTCCTTAGAATATAATAAAAATTCTTTCTTAACTAGAAAAATTTTTAGAGAATTATGTGCAAAACACATATTAGAGCTCAAATAAATATTGACCTTTTTTTTCTCAAAACACCTCACACAATTCTAAATCATTTATTTATTACACATTTTAAAAATGGCATTCTCACCCCAATGTTCAGAGAAGCAATGTCCGCAATAGCCAAACTGTGGAAAGAGCTGAGATGCCCTTCAACAGATGAATGGATAAAGAAGATGTGGCCCATATATACAATGGAATATTACTCAGCCATCAGAAAGGATGAATACCCAAATTTTGCATCAACATGGATGGGACTGGAGGAGATTATGCTAAGTGGAATAAGTCAAGCAGAGAAAGTCAGTTCTCATACAGTTTCACTTATATGTGGAACATAAGGAATAACATGGAGGACATTAGGAGAAGGAAGGGAAAAAATGAAGGGGGGGAATCGGAGGGGGAGAGGAACCTGAGAGACTATGGACTATGAGAAACAAACAGGGTTTTAGAGGGGAGGGGGTGGGGGGATGCGTTAGCCCAGTGATGGGTGTTAAGGAGGGTACGTACTGCATGGAGCACTGGGTGTTACACGCAAATAGTGGATCGTGGATCACTACATCAAAAACTAATGATGTACTGTATGGTGACTAACATAACATAATAAAATAAAATAAAAATGGCATGCTCGCGGTTAATTTATTAGATACTTAAATATTCAAATTATCTTAAAATTACAAATTTTTTTTTTTGCAAAATCTGCATTTATTTTGCTCAAAACCAAATGGTGGGACATGATTATATTTAAAGACTAACCAGTGGCATCAAACACTGGATTTGATGGATAATTACAATAGCCACATTCCAAAAATCTTTATATAAACAACCTAAAAATTACATCTAAAATCATGCTTAGGCAAAACATGCCAAAACAGATTAGGTGCAATATATACAAAGACATATGTAGCACTTTCTAGCACAAAGTTTTCCAAAAAACACACAGAGAATACAATAATTTATATTTATAAAGGACAGGTGTTTATATAAACACTGTTTTGAAGAATGACATAAACTCAGAAAAATGTGATCAGAGTATTCCTTCTCACATACAGGCTACTAATGCCCTAGTATCTCAAAATCCTTTACAAAAGGAGATAGCTTAAATGGTTCTCATCCAGGGTTTTTTTTAAATGTTACTTTTTTTTCTTCTTCTTTTTTTCATCTGCTTCCATTTTAAGCTTAACTTCTTCAGCTGAAAGAGCTCCCAGTTTCTTATTCTTGGCTTTCTTAACCTTTTCCTTGATGGCAGCCACATCAATTTTATTTTCAGTAGAAGCTTCCCTTGGTTTCACAACTGGTTTTTCCTTAGGTGGAATAAAAGCTTTGTTTCTTTCGTCTTGTCTTTTACTAAGAGCTTCTGCTTGTTTAGCCTTTATGGCTTCCATTTTCTGTCGCTTCTTTTGACTTGCCTTCAGAAAATATTCACCACTAGCCAATTCTTTATCAATCTGACTTTCTGGCTGTGGTGGTGGGAATGGTGTGTACTCTTTCTTGACAGTTTTTTTCTTTGGTTCCTTGCGTTTATTCACATTCTTGTGCTTAAACTGTGGCAAAAATCTTTCCCAACTTTGTGATCTTAATTCAGAATCTTTTGCCAACTCTCGTTTAATCATTAAGGTTTTAATGTTATAAATTGGATGAATATTCTTCATAGTATCTAGGACTACTTTTCGAACCTCTTTTAAGCCACTAAAAGGTCCAATGACTGAAACTGTGTTTCCCTGAACCATAATATAACAGTTTGTTAAGAGTTCCAAAGCCTTCAATGTAGATCCTTTGGGACCAATGAGACGTTGTCTTCTTTTTACAAATCTTTCTTTATTTCTTACTAAAGAACCTATTTTAATGATGTCACATGCAACATCATCCTGAAGAATTCGTACTGCCTGTTCAAATGAAACACTCCTTGCTAAAAGTTTTATTAGGTCTCTGGCCCTAATGATGATATATGGATCAAAAGTCTTCTTTGTTGTACACACAGTCATACTGCCCTCAATCAGGTCCAGGGTTGCATTAATGTGATGTTCATTCAAGGCTTTCTGTACCAATGGCCAGCACTCTTTCAGGTAAGCCTCCCTATATTTTGGGAACAAAGTTGCAAAACTGCTCTCTTCCAAGAGTCCTCTGGGATTGTCCTCTTTGGAAAAAGCTGGTTCCTTCCAACCATCAGGAACAGTGAGGAGTTCTGATTCATCTTGGATAAGAAATGACAGATTCCCAAGTGCTCACATGCTTGGCTGACCAGGCAGTCTGCAGTCTGAAATGTTCTCTAGCCCCCAGCAATCTAGACAGTGATGTGGAAATGTTAAAATTACAAATATTTAAAGTACCAAATATACAAAGATTATTTCTCAACATGGTAGAGAAATATTAAAAATATGCACTTTATTTTGCCATATCAATTCTTACTTCTTTTTAACTGGGCTAGAGCTCCTGATCCATGAAAGAAACAATGTTAGCATTTTGATGTAATTTGGAGTTACTAAATATTAGCAATAATTGCTAGTTACAGAAACCTGAATGATGATGGCTTTACAGTGTTAGGAATTTGTTTTCACTTCACCTGAAAAACATCTATTCCTGCAAAAATGGAATCTTCACAAAGAGGGTCACAAAGTCTGATCAGTCATGCAGTGTCCCTTCCGCTGCAGGTTCCACCTTTCACCCACGGTATTATCTTCCTCCTACTGAATTTGACACTTTGTCATTTTCAGTGTCCTGGGCTCTTTCTAGCTTTCTTTTCTGTCATCCTTAGCACATGGTTTCCATCCTAAAGCTCGCCTCAAGGTTATAACCACAACATTCCCATGTGAAGTAGGAAGAAGGAAGAATAGCAAGGCTTGCATGTTGAGTTAGCCTCATCCCCAACAATAACCTGTTGAGGGGTTATTCCAAACAGTTTCTGTCTACACACCATCTCCTGGAATGCAGCCACATGGCCACTCCTATCTGCAAAGGAGCAGGAGGGAACCTGGGCGTTCATCTGTTACATTACTGCCCCCTGCTGTTACTAGCCAGGCAGAGGTTGGGCTCTTTGGTGGGAACAGCTGCCTTTGCAACACCCTGCTGACCACCTCAGCTTTATGGTGTGGGTAGACTGATTATGCATGTCAAACACCTGAGGTTACAGACCTCTAGGGTTACTTTTTTCAAAACTGAAAAATAATTTGATCTCTGTTTTATACTCTCCATGGTAGTAAAGACTTCTATCAACGTCCTATAAATGGGTTAGTCTTGCTATTCACTGTTCCCAGATGCAAATTACATCTTGACAAATTTTCAAGCCTGGTTTGAGCCTATGACCCTCCTCTCATCAGGCCCCCATTTTGTGTCTTTGCCATTAGGTTGGATTTAACTAATTGTATTCCAAACCCTCTTCATAGTGTTAGGTGGGCAGGAGCACAATACCCACAGATATTTATGTAGCATCGATTGTAATCAGCATATCTTTTATTTTTAAAGATCTTTTTCCTTTTTTAAAAGTAAGCTCCATGCCCAGCATGGAGCCCAATGCAGGGCTTGAACTCACGACCCTGAGATCAAGACCTGAGCTGAGATCAAGAGTCTGATGCTTAACCAACTGAGCCACCAAAGCATCCCTGTAATCAGCATATCTTACACACCAGCTTCTGGATCTGAAGTCAGAGCTTCTAGGGTCTTTCTAATGAAGAAAGGGGACTTGAAGGTACACAAAGGTAAGATATAGAAGAGAGCTCTAGAAGTCAGGAGGAGGGACAGGAGAATTAAGAGATTGGGATAAGAAGTCTTCAGTGAAATCAGAAAACTGGAGATTGGGGAAACAAACAAAGGAGTTTGGGGTGAGCAGATGCCATGATGAATTTTCAAGAGTGATCTGTAAGGGAGAATTTTAGAAAGTTTTACTGTGTGCTCTATATTGCAATATCCATCATATCTTATCCACTCTTGTCACCTCCTCCAGAGACGGTCATTAAGACCTGTGTTACTGTTCAATTCTTCTGAATTTCTACATTTTTTGCAAGTGCCACATTGCCAGAACAGTTATTGAGAGAGAGCAGAGACCCATTTATTGGAATTCAGTAGTGTAGTGACTTGTGATAGCCAACATCTGTTCTAGGGAATTCAGTGAGAACACAGTTGTATGTGGTGGACCTCACACTTCCAGATAAATTGAGAGAAATTCAAGACTCATGTGTGCTTTGTCCAGAGCTCTGGCAACACTAGGCTGACAGAAACTCTCCATTCTACCAATGCATAGATGTAGGTTAGAGACAGCCATGTGGGGAACTGAGAAACAAAGAGTCCATCCATCAGCAAGCATTTATTGAGCATGTATTATATTTCAGGTATTCTATACACTGAGAACAGAGGTGGACAAGATAGATAGCATCCCTTCTCCTAAGGAGTTTGTATTTAGTGAGCTTGAGGCAGTCTATCACATTTCCTGCAGGAGCTACATTTGAGACAGGGAGGCAAAGGGCATGGAATGATGACCTGAGACCATTAGGGATATGGACACCTTAAGAGACACCAATATGGAGGGATGACTTGCTTGAAGGCCAAATGGCACGATCAGACATCTACACAGATAGAAAGTGTCTACTGAGAACCAGATCCCCAACATGTGCCTTTCTGCACTCTCTCCTGCACACACCTGATCCTAGCATCCTTCTCAGGGATAAGGAGGAGGGGGCAACATTAGGTCAAGTGAGAAAACTCTGATAGAACTGAAATTAACCTGCATTGGCAAGATTGAAGTCTATTTATTTATTTGGTAGTAGGCAGAATGGAGACTAGAGATAGAAATTAAATTTACTTATAAAACTTAGAAGAAAATTGTCATTGTTGTACACTTTGTTTCTGACTTACTATATTTCCATTAGGTATATCTGGTTATAAATCTAATTGAATTGGGATCATCTAGAAATCACTTTGGTGTCAGTATGTGGAATGGTAATTAAGATTAGTATTTGGATTGGCATTAAAATATATTCTAAGAGATATTGATGATTAGGCTCACTAGGAGGTTTTTCTTGGTGATTTTGGATTGAATACACCCAGTATTAAAATAAACTCACTTTCATGTTTTGACAACCTAAGGATCACAGCAGATGTGAGAATATGTTTAATTTTTCAGTGAGATTCAGGTAAATTTTAATAATTAAGTAAGGATTACATTATGGGGATTTTTAGAGGAAGAGTTATAATCAAGGTAAGTGTAGGAAATACCAATAATGCTCTTGCTTCAGGTTGGATATCTTGATTTAAGTATATATGAAACACATGGCTTCAATTTAAGGCTAGGAATGATGAGTAGATGCTGGTGTTGGGCTTCATCAGAGTTTGCATTGAGAGTAAAAGAGTCCAGATGCAGATCTTCACTTCATTGCCTTCTTGAGGATGTATTGAGGCAAAGAGGGTCAAAAGATGGAATGTCACATAATCAAATACCCAATACTTTGGGATCAAGTTGAGGGAGCAACTCAATTTGTCTGCCATGGGTTCAGGCTTAAAGAAGACCAGGAAGTGGGCTGACAAAAAGTAGAAATAGAAACAAGTCATGGGATAAGGGTTGGAGGAAAGGAAAGTGTTAGAAAGTTCAAGGAAAGAGAAGCTGCATTCAGAGGACTGGAAGTTGGCATTTATAGGACTGGGAGGGAGTGAAGGGGGAGTTTCAAAAGCTGGGAGTTTAAGGGATTGAGAGGAGGCTGTCAGTAAGAGACTTATCCAGATAGGGAGATGGGGTGGGATGCAGGGTTAGAGAAGCCCAAAACTGTGTGGTAGTAGACAGTTGGCTGGAGAATATTGACATCTGACACAGGTCAGAGGTAGGTGAGAAACGACCAATATCAAGGAGCTTAACCACTGGGTTTTCCTCTAGGAGTTTTATGGTTTCATGTCTGGTATTCAAGTCTTTCATCCATTCTGAGTTTATCTTTTGTACAGTGTAAGATAGGCATCCTGTTTCATTCTTTTGCCTATGGCTGTCCAGTTTTCCCAACACCATTTATCTAAGAGACTGTTCTTTCCCTGTTGTATATTCTTGGCACCTTTGTTGAAAATCAATTGACTATATATGCTTGGGTTTATTCCTGGGTTCTGTTCTGTTCCATTGATCTATGTGCTTATTTTTGTGCCAGTACCATACTGTTTCTATTACTACAGCTTTGTAATAAACTTTAAATCTGAAATTGTGATACCTCTGGGGTTTTGCTTTTCTTTTTCAAGATTGCTTTGGCGATTCAGGGTCTTTTGTGGTTCCATACAAATTTTAGGATTCTTTGTTGTACTTCTCTGAAAAATACTATTGGTATTTTGATAGGGATTGCATTAAATCTGTAGATTGCTTTGTGTAGTATGGACATTTTAACAATATTTGTTCTTTCATTCCATGAGCACGGAATGTCTTTTCATTTGTTCATATCTTCTTCAGTTTCTTTCATCACTGTCCTATCATTTTCAGAATATAAGTCTTTTACCTCCTTGGTTAAATGTATTCCTAAGGTGGTTTTATTTGGTGCAGTTGTAAATGAAATTGTTTTCTTAATTTTTATTTCTTCTACTTTGTTATTAATGTATGGAAACAGCAGATTTCTGTATATTAATTTTGTACCTTGCAAATTTACTGTATTCATTTATTGTTCTAATGGATTTTTTGCTGGAGTATTTAGGGTTTTACATCCCTTTTACATGGTATTATAACATCTGCAAATAGTGACAGTTTTACTTCCTCCTTTCCAATTTGGATGACTTTTATTTTCTTTTTCTTGCCTAATTGCTCTATAAGACTGTGGGACTTCCAGAACTATGTTGAATAAAAGTGGTGAGAGTGGACATCCTTGTTTTGTTTCTGATTTTAGAGGAAAAACTTTCAGTTTTTCACAATTGAGGATGATGTTAGTTGTGGGCTCGTCATAAATGGTGTTTATTATGTTGAGGTATATTCCCTCTAAACCCACTTTGTTGATAGTTTTTATGATGTTGATAGTTTTATGAGCAGATGTTGAATTTTGTCAAATATGTTTTCTTCATCTATTGAGATGATCATATGATTTTTATCCTTCATTTTATTAATGTGGTGTATCATGTTGATGGATTTGCGGATATTGAACCATCCTTGCTTTCCTGGAATAAATCCCAATTGATGGTGGTAAATAACCCTTTTAATGTATCACTGAATTCAGTTTGCTTATTTTATTTCTTTGAGGACTTTTGCATCTATGTTCATCAGGAATATTTGCCTGTGCTTTTCTTTGCTTGGTAGTATCTTTGTCTGGTTTTGGTATCAGGGTAATGCTGGCCTCATAGAATATATTTGGAAGCTTTCCTTCTATTTTTTTGGAATAGGTTGAGAAGAATAGGTATTAACTCTTCTTTAAATGTCTAGTAGAATCCACCTTTGAAGCCGACTGGTCCTGGATTTTGTTTGTTGGGGAGGCAGGAGGCTCTTGCACAGAGCCTGGAGTGGGAGGACACAGCTGCATAAAGTGCTAGCATGCCAATTTAGCAACTGCTTCTTTCTTTGTTATAGTCCTGTGCATCTTGTGAATGATGACCCTGTTGGCTCTCAGAGCTCAGTAATTTGGCACATCCCTTGGGTGGAAGCCATAGAATTTGGAGTGCTAGATGTGTGGTCCAAACACTTTCCTCCTCAGGGAGAAGCTGGAAGTTGGAGGTTCTCCCTTGAATGCAGGTGCTGTGCCAAGGGTGAGAGTGTGTCTCAGCTTTTTCTACACATTTTAATGTGGGTATTTTCTGAGTTGCACAATGTGTAGGAGTCACTCGACTTGTTTCCAGATTTCTTCCAGAGGGAATTGATCCGTATCGAGTTGTATACTTGGTGTGTCCATGGGAGGAGGGAAATTCAGGAGCCTCCTATGTTGCCATCTTGGTGATGTCCAAAAAGGGTTTTAACTCAAGTTGGCCCACAGCACTTCATGGTTGATTACAAACTCCAGTCCCCTGGTTTCACAATCTTTGAACATGTTCTGAACAAATGGTCTAGCACTCATATTTCCAGCCTTAGGGCCTCTGCCCATAATGTGACCATATGAAAAATCAGATTTAGGAGCAAAAGAGGCACTACTAACGATTTTATGGGGAACTATGAGAGAAGTTAGAGAACTTACATTACTCCCACACAATAAAAAAATAAAATGAAATAAGTTCCAATTAAACATTTTAATTCTTCCTAATGTGTCTCTTCTCAGCCT